CAGTTACATAAGCCCTGCTCACACACCGACCCAATTAGGGAGGTGAATACAAAGGCTCCTTGGCAGCATTCACACAGGCTCTGATCACATCCCGACCCAATTAGGGAGGGGAACGCAAAGGCTCCATGGCTGCATTTACACAGGCCCTCATCACATCCCGCCCCAATTAGGGAGGGGAATGCAAGGCTCCTTGGCTGCATTTACACAGGCCCTGATCACATCCCGACCCAATTAGGGAGGTGAATACAAAGGCTCCTGGGCTGCATTTACACAGACCCTGATCACATCCTGACCCAATTCGGGAGGTGAACACTGCATTTACACAGGCCCTGATCACCTCCTGACCCAAAGTAGGGAGAGAAACAAAAGGCTCCTTGGCTGCATTTACACAGGCCCTGATCACATCCCGACCCAATTAGGGAGGTGACTACAAAGGCTCCTTGGCAGCATTCACACAGGCCCTGATCCCATCCCGACCCAATTAGGGAGGGGAATGCAAGGCTCCTTGGCTGCATTGACACAGGCCCTGATCACATCCCGACCCAATTAGGGAGAATCACAAGGCTCCTTGGCTGCATTTACACAGGGCTTGATCACATCCCGACCCAATTAGGGAGGTGACTACAAAGGCTCCTTGGCAGCATTCACAGAGGCCCTGATCACATCCCGACCCAATTAGGGAGGGGAATGCAAGGCTCCTTCGCTGCATTGACACAGGCCCTGATCACATCCCGACCCAATTAGGGAGAATCACAAGGCTCCTTGGCTGCATTTACACAGGTCTTGATCACATCCCGACCCAATTAGGGAGGTGAATACAAAGGCTCCTTGGCTGCATTTACACAGGCCCTGTTCACATCCCGACTCAATTAGGGAGGGGAATGCAAGGCTCCTTGGCTGCGTTTAGACAGGCCCTGATCACATCCCGACCCAATTAGGGAGATGAACACAAGCCTCCTTGGCAGCATTTTCACAGGCCCTGATCACATCCCGACCCAATTAGGGAGAATCACACGGCTCCTTGGCTGCATTTACACAGGTCTTGATCACATCCCGACCCAATTAGGGAGGTGAATACAAAGGCTCCTTGGCTGCAGTTACACAGGCCCTGATCACATCCCGACCCAATTCGGGAGGGGAATGCAAGGCTCCTTGGCTGCATTTACACAGGCTGACCCAATTAGGGAGAGAAACACAAGGCTCCTTGGCTGCATTTACACAGCCATTGATCACATCCCGACCCAATTAGGGAGGTAAATACAAAGGCTCCTTGGCAGCATTCACACGGGCCCTGATCACATCCCGACCCAATTAGGGAGGGGAATGCAAGGCTCCTTGGCTGCATTTACACAGGCCCTGATCACATCCCGACCCAATTAGGGAGGGGAATGCCAAGGCTCCTTGGCTGCATTCAAACAGGCGACTTGGGCACATCCCGAACCCAATTAGGGAGGGGAATGCAAGGCTCCGTGTCTGCATTTGACCACCCTGATCCCTCCTGACCCATTTAGGAGGGCATGCAGGCTCACCCTGCTGCATTGACACTGCCGCTGAGGGAATGCACGGGCTCTTTGATGCATTTACAAGTCCCTATCACATCCCGAACCCCAATATGAGACTCACAGGCTCTTGGCGCATTTAACACAGTTCTGGTACTCCGACCCAGTGGGAGAGAAACAAAAGGCTCCTTGGCTGCATTTACACAGGCCCTGATCACATCCCGACCCAATTAGGGAGGGGAATGCAAAGGCTCCTCGGCTGCATTTACACAAGCCCTGATCACATCCCGACTCAATTAGGGAGGGGAATGCAAGGCTCCTCGGCTGCATTTACCCGCCAGGCATGAATCACATCCCGAACCCAATTAGAAAGTAAATACAAACCTCCTTGGCGGTCATTTTAACCCAGGCCCTGATCACATCCGACCGCAAATGAGGAGGACGGCAGAGGCTCCTTGCTGCAATTTACACAGGCCCTGAGGTCACATCCCACCCAATTTGGAGGGAACTGCAAGGCTCATTGGCTGCATTTACAAGGCCCTGATCACATCCTGATCCAATTAGGGAGAGAAACACAAGGCTCCTTGGCTGCATTTACACAGCCCTTGATCACATCCCGACCCAATTAGGGCGGTGAATACAAAGGCTCCTTGGCTGCATTTACACAGGCCCTGGTCACATCCCGACTCAATTAGGGAGGGGAATGCAAGGCTCCTTGGCTGCGTTTAGACAGGCCCTGATCACATCCCGACCCAATTAGGGAGGTGAACACAAGACTCCTTGGCAGCATTTTCACAGGCCCTTGATCACATCCCGACCCATAGGAGGTAATGCCAAGGCTTCTTGGCTTCATTCACACCGCCCTGATCACCAGATCCGGACCCATCCGGAGGAAGTCACTTCAATTGCTCCTTGGCTTGCAGTGCCACCACATCCTGACACCCAATTAGGGAAGGAATGGCAAGGCCCTTGGTTTTTACACAGGCTTTCGTGACCCAATTAGGGAGGGGAATGATAGGCTCCGTGGCAATTAAGGAGGGGAATGCAAAGCTCCTTGGCTGCGTCTACACAGCCCTGATCACATTCCGACCCAATTCGGCATCCCGACCCACTTAAGGAGGGAAACGCAAGGCTCCTTGGCTGCATTTACACAGGCCCTGATCACATCCCGACCCAATTAGGGAGGGGAACGCAAGGCTCCTCGCTGCATTTACACAGGCCCTGATCACATCCCGACCCAATGAGGGGAACGCAAGAATTTACACAGGCCCGGATCACACCCCGACCCACATTTTGTGAAGGTGAACTACCTGGACAGGCGTTCCAAGAGCTGGTAATCCTTATCCTGGTGCATTTATGAAGGAGGACTACCTGGCAAGGCTTTCCGCGAGCTGGAAATCCTTATCCTGGTGCATTTTACGAAGGAGAACTACCTGGAAAGGCCTTCCGCGAGCTGGAAATCCTTATCCTGGTGCATTTTATGAAGGAGAACTACCTGGAAAAGAGCTGGAAATCCTTATCCTGGTGCATTTTATGAAGGAGAACTACCTGGAAAGGCCTTCTGCAAGCTGGAAATCCTTATCCTGGTGCATTTTATGAAGGAGAACTGCTTGGAAAGCCTTCCGCGAGCTGGAAATCCATATCCTGGTGCATTTTATGAAGGAGAACTACCTGGAAAGGCCTTCCACGAGCTCCTTATCCTGGTGCATTTTATGAAGGAGAACTACCTGGAAAGCCTCCAAGAGCTGGAAATCCTTATACTGGTGCATTTTAGGAAGGAGAACTACGTGGAAAGGCTGTCCAAGAGCTGGAAATCCTTATCCTGGTGCATTTTATGAAGGAGAACTACCTGGAAAGGCCTTCCAAGAGCTGGCAATCCTTATCCTGGTGCATTTTATGAAGGAGAACACACAGGCTTTGATCACAGCCGGACCCAAATAGGGAGGGGAATGCAAGGCTGCATTCACACAGGCCCTGATCACATCCGGACCCAATTAGGGAGGGGAACGCAAGGCTCCTTGGCTGCATACACACAGACTTTGATCACATCCGGACCCAATTAGGGAGGGGAATGCAAGGCTCCTTGGCTGCATTCACACAGGCCCTGATCACATCCTGACCCAATTAGGGAGGGGAATGCAAGGCTCCTTCGCTGCAGTTACACAGGCCCTGATCACATCCCGACCCAATTAGGGAGAGAAACACAAGGCTCCTTGGCTGCATTTACACAGGTCCTGATCACATCCCGACCCAATTAGGGAGGTGAATACAAAGGCTCCTTGGCTGCATTTACACAGGCCCTGGTCACATCCCGACTCAATTAGGGAAGGGAATGCAAGGCTCCTTGGCTGCGGTTAGACAGGCCCTGATCACATCCCGACCCAATTAGGGAGATGAACACAAGCCTCCTTGGCAGCATTTTCACAGGCCTTGATCACATCCCGACCCAATTAGAGAAGGGAATGCAATGCTTCTTGGCTGCATTCACACAGGCCCTGATCACATCCGGACCCAATTCGGGAAGGGAATGCAAGGCTCCTTGGCTGCAGTCACACCACATCCGGACCTTGGCTGCATTTACACAGCCCTTGATCAATTAGGGAGGTAAATACAAAGGCTCCTTGGCAGCATTCACACAGCCCCTGATCACATCCCGACCCAATTAGGGAGGGGAATGCAAGGCTCCTTGGCTGCATTTACACAGGCCCTGATCACATCCCGACCCAATTAGGGAGGGGAATGCCAAGCCTCCTTGGCTGCATGCAAACAGGCCCTGGTCACATCCCGACCCAATTAGGGAGGGGAATGCAAGGCTCCTTGGCTGCATTTACACAAACCCTGATCACATCCTTACCCATTTAGGGAGGGCAATGCAAGGCTCCCTGGCTGCATTTACACAGGCCCTGGGAGGGGAATGCAAGGCTCCTTGGCTGCATTTACACAGGCCCTGATCACTTCCCGACCCAATTAGGGAGAATCACAAGGCTCCTTGGCTGCATTTACACAGGTCTTGATCACATCCCGACCCAATTAGGGAGGTGAATACAAAGGCTCCTTGGCGGCAGTTACACAGGCCCTGATCACATCCCGACCCAATTCGGGAGGGGAACGCAAGGCTCCTTGGCTGCATTTACACAGGCCCTGATCACATCCTGACCCAATTAGGGAGAGAAACACAAGGCTCCATGAAGATGGCACTGTCCTGGTGGAAGGAGTGCAGGGCAAGACCGCTTCCCCAGCTCGTCTAGACTGCTTGCACAAAGCCTTGCAAGAGCTGACAGCGCAGCACCGCCTCTACCAGGCAAACCCAGCAGTGGAGGGAGCCTTAACAAGAATGGAAATCATCCTCGCTGGAAAAGTGCAGCCGTGTACAAGCGCAGCGGCAACGACAGACCGCGAAACCTCCCAAGGGCGCCAAACGGGGGAGTCCGGTGGCTCACACTCCTCGGCCTTGGGGGCGAAGCGCAGCACTCGGAAAACGCAGCGGCCTCTGTCGAAACAATGGAAGAGAAGGAAGACAGGCTAGAGATGACGTACCTGATCCCCAAAGAGCTGAAAGCCCCCAGAGCGGACACTGTGGAGCTGCAGAAAATCCGAAGCACTTCGGAGCTCACGGACGACATGGACGTGAAGTTCTTCCAACACCTGTTTTCCACGGGCACAGGCGGATGGCAGAATGGATATGGAAGCTTCTCCCAATACGCTCGCAAGCTCTCGGGCAACATCAACGTGAGGATCGGCAACCAGCAGGCTCCAGGCGGGAAGACCAAGTACCAAGAGGGCAAAGGTCAGGTGTTTCCAGCCCTGAGGGACATCCCAAAAAGCACCTGAGATTGCTTATCACTGAGCATTCTTTAGAGAAGAGAGCGCAGCGCAAGGCTCCTTGGCTGCATTTACCGGCCCTGATCACATCCCGACCGGACTAGGCAGGGGAACACAAGGCTCTGTGCCTGCATTTACAGGCCCTGATCACATCCCGACCCAATTAGGGAGGGGAATGCAATGCTCCTTGGCTGCATCTGCACAGGTCCTGCTCACACCCTGAAGGGAACACAAGGCTCCTTGGCTTCATACACAGGCCCTGATCACATCCCTACCCAATCAGGGAGGCCAAGGCTCCTTGGCTGCGTTCACGCAGGCCCTGATCACATCCGACCCAGTCAGGGAGGGAATGCAAGGCTCCTTGGCTGCATTTACACAGGCCCTGATCACATCCTGACCCATTTAGGGAAGGGAACGCAAAGGCTCCTTGGGAGCAGTTACAAAGGCCCTGATCACATCCCGACCCAATTAAAGGCAAATACAAGGCTCTTTGGCTGCATTCACACAGGCCCTGATCACATCCCGACCCAATTAAGGAGGCAAATACCTTGACTGCATTCACACAGGCCCTGATCACATCCTGACCAAGGCTCCTTGGCTGCATTTACCGGCCCTGATCACATCCCGACCCAACTAGGGAGGGGAACGCAAGGCTCTGTGCCTGCATTTACAGGCCCTGATCACATCCCGACCCAACTAGAGAGGGGAATGCAGGGCTACCTTGGTTGCGCGGCCCTGATCACATCCCGACCCAATTAGGGAAGGGAACACGCTGCATTCTGATCACATCTACATGGAAAGGCCTTGAAAAAAAAGCTGGAAATCCTTATCCTGTCTTCAAATAGCTGGAAATCCTGGTGCTTTTTTTGCGAAGGAGAACTACCTGGAAATGCCTTCAAAGAGCTGGAAATCCTTATCCTGGTGCATTTTATGAAGGAGAATTATTTGGAAAGGCCTTCAAAGAGCTGGAAATCCTTATCCTGGTGCATTTCATGAAGGAGAACTACCTGGAAAGGCCTTCTTGGTGCATTTCACGAGGGAGAACTACCTGGAAAGGCCTCTTATCCTGGTGCAATTTATGAAGGAAAACTGCCAGGATCGCCAACCAATTAAGGAGAATCCCGGGCGACTCGGCTGCACATCCCAGCTGGAAAGCTTATCGTCAACCAATTAAGGAGAATCCCAGGCGACTCGGCGTGCAAGCTAGAACTTATCGCCAACCATTAGTATAAGTCCGCATGCTACTCGCTGCAAATCCCAGCTTGAAGCTGCCCTCGCCACCAATTAAGGAGAATCCCCCGGGCGCCTCGCCTGCAAATCTGGAAAGCTTCTCGCCACCATTAGAGAATCCCGGCGACGCGGCTGTCAATCCCAGCTGGAAATCGTTATCGCAACCAATTAAGGAGAATCCCAGGCGACTCGGCTGCAAAGCTAGAAAGCTTATCGCCAACCAATTAAGGAGAATCCCAGGCGACTCGGCTGCAAATCCCAGCTGGAAAGCTTATCGCCAACCAATTGAGGAGAATCCCGGGCGACTCGGCTGCAAAGCTGAAAAGATTATCGCCAACCAATTACGGAGAATCCCAGGCGACTCGGCTGCAAAGCTAGAAAGCTTATCGCCAACCAATTAAGGAGAATCCCAGGCGACTCGGCTGCAAAGCTGGAAAGCTTATCGCCAACCAAATAAGGAGAATCCCGGGCGACTCGGCTGCAAATCCCAGCTGGAAGCTATCGCCACCGTTAAGAAATCCCGGCGACTTCGGCGCAAGCTGGAAGCTTATCGCCAACCATTAAGCACTCCCGCGACTCGGCTGAAATCCCGCTGGAAACTTTATCGCCAACCAATTAAGAAATCCCGTCGACTCGCTGCAATGCGGAAGCTGTATCGCCAACCAATTAAGGCGAATCCGGGCGACTCGGTTGGCACAGCTGAAAGCCTTATCGCCAACCAATTAAGGAAAACCGGGCGACTCGGCTGAAACAAAGCTGGAAACATCCCAACCATTTAGGAAGAATCCCAGGCGACTTCGGTCTGCAATCTCACTGGAAGTTTTTTCTCGCCAACCCCATTAAGGAGACTCCCGTCGACTCGGCTGCAAATCTCGCTGGAAAGCTTAGCGCCAACCAATTAGGAGAATTCCCCGACTCGGCTGCAAATCTCAGCTGGAAAGCTTATCGCCAACCAATTAAGGAGAATCCCGGGCGACTCGGCTGCAAAGCTCAGCTGGAAAGCTTATCGCCAACCAATGAAGAGAATCCCAGGCGACTCGGCTGCAAATCCCAGCTGGAAAGCTTCTCGCCAACCAATTAAGGAGAATCCCAGGCGACTCGGCTGCAAATCTCAGCTGGTAAGCTTATCGCCAACCAATTAAGGAGAATCCCGGGCGACTCTGCTGCAAAGCTGCTTCCAAGAGCTGGAAATCCTTATCCTGGTGCATTTTATGAAGGAGAACTACCTGGCAAGGCCTTCCAAGAGCTGGAAATCCTTATCCTGGTGCATTTTATGAAGGAGAACTACCTGGCAAGGCCTTCCAAGAGCTGGAAATCCTTATCCTGGTGCATTTTATGAAGGAGAACTACCTGGCAGCCTTCCAAGAGCTGGAAATCCTTATCCTGGTGCATTTTATGAAGGAGAACTACCTGGCAAGGCCTTCCAAGAGCTGGAAATCCTTATCCTGGTGCTTTTTATGAAGGAGAACTACCTCGTCCAAGAGCTGGAAATCCTTATCCTGGTGCATTTTATGAAGGAGAACTACCTGGCAAGGCCTTGCAAGAGCTGGAAACCCTTATCCTGGTGCATTTTATGAAGGAGAACTACCTGGCAAGGCCTTCCACGAGCTGGAAATCCTTATCCTGGTGCATTTTATGAAGGAGAACAACCTGGCAAGGCCTTCCAAGAGCTGGAAATCCTTATCCTGGTGCATTTTATGAAGGAGAACTACCTGGCAATGCCTTCCAAGAACTGGAAATCCTTATTCTGGTGCATTTTATGAAGGAGAACTAACTGGCAAGGCCTTCCAAGAGCTGGAAATCCTTATCCTGGTGCATTTTATGAAGGAGAACTACCTGGAAAGGCTCTTATCCTGGTGCATTTTATAAAGGAGAACTACCTGGAAAGGCCTTCCGCGAGCTGGAAATCCTTATCCTGGTGCATTTTATGAAGGAGAACCACCTGGTAAGGCCTTCTGCGAGCTGGAAATCCTTATCCTGGTGCTTTTTATGAAAGAGAACTACCTGGAAATGCCTTCCGCGAGCTGGAAATCCTTATCCTGGTGCATTTTATGAAGGAGAACTACCTGGAAAGGCTTTCCGCGAGCTGGAAATTCTTATCCTGGTGCTTTTTTCTGAAGAAGAACTACTTGGAAAGGCCTTCCGCGAGCTGGAAATGCTTATCCTGGTGCATTTTATGAAGGAGAACTACCTGGAAAGGCCTTCCAAGAGCTGGAAATCCTTATCCTGGTGCATTTTATGAAGGATAACTACCTGGAAAGGGAAATCCTTATCTTGGTGCATTTTATGAAGGAGAACTACCTGGAAAGGCCTTCCGCAAGCTGGAAATCCTTATCCTGGTGCATTTTATGAAGGAGAACTACCTGGAAAGGCCTTCTGCGAGCTGGAAATCCTTATCCTGGTGCATTTTATGAAAGAGAACTACCTGGAAATGCCTTCCGCGAGCTGGAAATCCTTATCCTGGTGCATTTTATGAAGGAGAACTACCTGGAAAGGCTTTCCGCGAGCTGGAAATCCTTATCCTGGTGCTTTTTTCTGAAGAAGAACTACTTGGAAAGGCCTTCCGCGAGATGGAAATGCTTATCCTGGTGCATTTTATGAAGGAGAACTACCTGGAAAAGCCTTCCGCGAGCTGGAAATCCTTATCCGGTGCATTTTATGAAGGAGAACTACCTGGAAAGGCCTTCCAAGAGCTGGAAATCCTTATCCTGGTGCATTTTATGAAGGAGAACTACCTGGAAAGGCCTTCCGCGACCTGGAAATCCTTATCCGGTGCCTTTTATGAAGGAGAACTACCTGGAAAGGCCTTCCGCGAGCTGGAAATCCTTATCCTGGTGCATTTTATGAAAGAGCTACCTGGAAAGGCCTTCCGCGAGCTGGAAAAGGCAAGGCCTTCCAAGAGCTGGAAATCCTTATCCTGGTGCATTTTATGAAGGAGAACTACCTGGCAAGGCCTTCCAAGAACTGGAAATCCTTATTCTGGTGCATTTTATGAAGGAGAACTACCTGGCAAGGCCTTCCAAGAGCTGGAAATCCTTATCCTGGTGCATTTATGAAGGAGAACTACCTGGCAAGGCCTTCCAAGAGCTGGAAATCCTTATCCTGGTGCATTCTATGAAAGAGAACTACCTGGCAAGGCCTTCCAAGAGCTGGAAACCCTTACGCTGGTGCATTTTATGAAGGAGAACCACGTTTGCTTGTCCTCAACCTGAATGGGGGCCATGTGCCAGGTGCTTATGCTCAACCAGAATGGGGTGCAGCCGAGTCGCTTCAGTCAACACAAAGTCCTGACACCAGCAATTCCTGTTTGCTTGCCTCAACCTGAATAGGGGCCAGCGTTTACCGCTCACACCGTGCGCTTTGGCTCAATATGAACAGCCTTAAGTCTTCATCCACAGCCATTTCGGGCGCAAGCCTCTGTCACCGCAAAAGGTCTTGAGAGCATTTTCGCATCCCTTGTTTCTCAGCTCAACTGATGCGAGTTGAAATGGCCAACCGCTGCGGCTGTTGGGGGGCCTGAACTGCGAGCTGAAGTGGGACGGTGGCCCGATCGCAAATTTGCGGACCATGGCCGGCCACGTCGCAGGCTCTGTGCGCTGGACAGCTGCTGGGCTGAATGAACCGGAAGCCCACAAATACCGTATTGCCATGCTGTTTCGACCTGTGAGCTTCTAGGCCCTTCAGAACGTCACGGTCGGCGACGTCATCTCAGCCATGGGATCTGAAGCCCATAGTCACGAAGCACTGTCGCGGCAGACGCATCTGGCAATCCTGATCAACGGACGATGGCAGCCAGAAGAGCAGCCAGTGGCCGGACCGTTTCTTCTCTTAGAAAAGCTGCCGCGATGCAGGCTACGGCACAAGCAGTCGCTGGCAGAACATCTGTTTCACGCCAATCTTCATTCGCTCTGACTCTCAAAATTCCACAGAAACGGCCGGTCATGGGCTACTCGCTTCTTCTGTGCATTGTTGAGCCATGTTGCACCTCTTTCTTGAGCTTGTGAGAAGGTAGGGACGGCCGAGCCTTCCCGTGCTTTTTGTTGCTTGTGCAGCGCGCTTGGGCTCAATTCGAGTCGTTTTAAAGTCTTCATCCGTGTCCCGCTGCGGCCAGGCAACCATTGGGGTACAAATCTCAATCGTCGCAGCTGTTCGTTTCGTTTTTGGAACATGGCCGCTGTCTTGTTTCTCAGGTCGACTGGTGCGACAGCATGCTCGAAGACACGTGCGAGGACTTGGAGAGCAGAGACCACTCGATTCGCGACTCCGAACAGGCGGACTTCGAGGACGGGTTCGACGACTGGGACTGGGTCGACAGTGAGATGCAGCGCGAAGCCGAGGAAGATGCGCGTGAGAGAGTACAGTGGAGCAAAGAAATGGAAATCCAGAATGAATACCGCCAGCGTCTCGCCAACATGACGGTGAAGTACCTGAACATGCAAGGTAGCGAAACCCACACCTCGAAGCCTTATCCACTCTGCCATGTCGAACCGTGCGAGTCTTTCCGGGAAGCCTGGCTGCACACTTTGCACGAAGGAAACAGCCCAGATCGCCGTCTCTCCCTGCGCCAACTACGTCTCAGACGACAAGAAATTAAGAAGCCTATCCCGGCGGAAACGCTGCAATATCGCAGCGCCAGGGAAGTCTTGCTTCACGATTTGGACAGCGGTCCTGCAGGACCCATCCCCCTCGACACCACGAAGCTGGTCTTGGGCGGGGGCGTGATCACAGACACCTGGAGCTGGCGTGAACTGTTGGGTCACAGCTTGAGCAACGACGTCGTGCACGTGCAAGTTGTCTACATCTCAGAGAAAGCCACAGGCCCGTAGAGCTGCCCATGTGAGTACGTTATGTCTCAGCAAGACAAGCCTGCAGAGCTCCAGTGTGTGCCACGAGAAAGAAACTGAGCAGCGAGCAAAGGCAGGACAGCTTTGTAAGTGCTCGAGCATGGCTTCTCAAGTTGCTTCACTGAGCCTGCTGCAGTGTTTCGGATACAGCCCCTAGGTGCAAAATCTGAGGATTCAGGATTCGTTGCCATGGCCCCTTGTCATCGGTGCGGCTTCGGGACAAGGAGCGGCAGAGGACAGGGATGGTGCAGCAATCCGCAGTGCCGCCAAGCCGAAAAAGAGGAGTGCCTGGCCCAGAAGAGCGCAGAGAAAATTGTTTGGCAGCAACAACGGGCAGCGCAGGGAGCGGGCAGTCGTGGACCCTTGCGCGAAGAGAACAGCAGAAAGGCAGAGCGCCGACAGCTGCATGAGGCAAGGGCGCGGGCAAAGGCAGAGGAGGAAGCAGGCGGCCGTGGACCTTTGCGTGAAGAAGACAGCAAAGAAGCAGAGCGCCGACAGCTGCGTGAGGCAAGGGCGCGGGCAAAGTCAGAGGAGGAAGCGGGCGGCCGTGGACCTTTGCGGGAAGAAGACAGCAAAGAAGCAGAGCGCCGACAGCTGCATGAGGCAAGGGCGCGGGCAAAGGCAGAGGAGGAAGCGGGCGGCCGTGGACCTTTGCGGGAAGAAGACGGCAAAGGGGAAGAGCGCCGACAGCTGCGTGAGGCAAGGGCACGGGCAAAGGCAGAGGAGGAAGCGGGCGGCCGTGGACCTTTGCGGGAAGAAGACAGCAAAGAAGCAGAGCGCCGACAGCTGCGTGAGGCAAGGGCGCGGGCAAAGGCAGAGGAGGAAGCGGGCGGCCGTGGACCTTTGCGGGAAGAAGACGGCAAAAGGGAAGAGCGCCGACAGCTGCGTGAGGCAAGGGCGCGGGCAAAGTCAGAGGAGGAAGCGGGCGGCCGTGGACCTTTGCGGGAAGAAGACAGCAAAGAAGCAGAGCGCCGACAGCTGCGTGAGGCAAGGGAGCGGGCAAAGGCAGAGGAGGGAGTGGGCGGCCGAGGGCCCAGGCCCATCGCCTCGGAGATTCAGCAGCAGGGCTACCCTTTTCCAGACGAGGACACCTTGACCCAGGAGCAGGCACAAGCCCATTACTTGGCTTTTGCGCGGAGCTGGAGTAGATTTGGCCTTTCTCGCGTGTGCCAGAAGTGCCAGACTCTAACACCAGGGAGGCACTGCAGAACAGCCAAAGGAAGTGGCCAGCTGCTCTGCAGGAATTGCCGCGAGAATCGCACCAAGGTGGTTTTGCCAATCCCGGCCCCCATCCCAGAAGCACTGCAAAGTCTGCAACCCATCGAACAGCATCTCCTCGCCATGGCACGCATCTCGCAGGTCTTGTTGGACAAGCTGCCATCAGGCGGCCCGAGCGCGCAGTGGGGTCGCATGTACGCAGTGCTCATGCAGGATCCTTTCATCTGCGACGTCCTCGAAGGCGCCACTTTGGAAGAAGACGGTACAGTGCTGGTCGAGGGCGTGGACGGCATGACCGCATCACCAGCGCGTTTGGAGCACCTACACGCGGCCTTGCAGGCCTTGAAGGAACTGCACTGCCTCTATCAACGGAGCCCGGCAGTGGACAGAGCTCTGGCGAGAATGGCTGCCATCCTCGCCAACAAGACATCCGCTGCGGCTGCGGTGCCAACAGACCCACTTGCGGGAACAGAAGCAAACCAAGAGATCGAGATGACATACCTGGTGCCGAAGCAATTCCAGGCCCCAAAAGCCGACGTACAAGATTTGCGAAAAGTGCGAGGATCCGCAGACCTCAGCGATGGCATGGATGCAAAATTCTTCCCACACTTGTTTCCCACCGGCACAGGAGGCTGGAAGAACGACAACGGAAGCTTTTCCCAATATGCCCGGAAGCGTCTGCTGAGCCTGGATTCCCGCTTCGAAGCGTCCACGGCCTACATCATGTGGCTGCTGGAGATGCAGACCAAGAAGCGACTTTCCGGAAACATCAACGTCCGGATCGGCAACCAGCGGGTGCCCTACGGCAGTAGCGACTACGAGAACGGTAGCCGTCAGGTGTATGCTGCCTTGCGGGACATGCCTGGCACGCAGCCGTACCTGTACGCCAAGAAGGGAGTGGCGCTCAACATGTACGAGCAGCTTGGCGCTCCCAACTTCTTCATGACACTGTCCTGCCACGCGCGCCAGCCTGCGTTGCTCCTCGCGGCTATCTCGGCACGGCTGCTGCGGCTGCATCCCGACCGCCCTCAGGCAGAACTGGAGCAGCACGCTGCGGAGATCCTATTCCGCTACCAGAATGACAAGAACTTCACTTGGGATGGGTTGTCGCCCAACCAGTTGTGCAACCAGCAGCCGGCAGTGGTAGCGCGACAATTCATGCACCAAGTCTCTCAGCTGATGTGGTGGCTGTCCAGCACGCGCGGTCCGAAAGTCCACCTGCACGAAGATTCTGATCCACAAGATGGAATCGAGGAGAACGACTGCGAGGACGTGGAGGACGACGCCCAGGCACCCGCCACGGATTTTGCAGGCCTTCATCGCCGCATGCGCAAGGAACGGCCTCCTTTCAAAGTGTTTGACTACATCATTCGCATAGAATGGCAAAAGCGGGGCTACCCCCACGCTCACATCCTGCTTTGGATCGAAGAGTGGGCCAAAGCAACGCAGCAGCCAGACAAGATGGCGCCCGACGGCGAAGACTCCGAACAAGCAGCAGAGACACCGGTTCCAGACTGGTCTGACGAAGAGGCCATGGAGAACTTCATCCCCAAGTGTGCGGAGGACCTCAGCGACAAGTACATCTGCACCAAGTCCCCGAACACGTGGCGCCAATCCCACCGCGTACCACCCAGAGATAGAGAAGTGAACGCAAAGCTGTCCGCAGAGGTGGTGCACAACCACACGCCATATTGCGGCATGTACTCAGAATGCGCCTGTCGATTTGGATTTCCACATGATGCAGAGCCCCGGACTCGGCGTCGAACATCGCAGGAGCAGTACGCCAACAGCCGCTGGAAGAGCAGCCTTGAGACGAGACGAGTGAAGGGAGACAGCATGATGGGACAGTACAACATTCGAATCTTGAGAAGGTGGAGGGCAAGCATGGACCTGCAGGTCATCTGCGAGCTCACCAGCGCCAGTCGGTACATACTGGGCTACACTTTCAAGTCGGAGGAGGATCGCGAAGCGCAGCGGCGAATGGAAAACATCCTTGCCATCCTAACAAGTCAGAGCGCAGGCGCCGGCCTCGACAATCAGAAGATCTACAAGGCAGCCCACGCGGCGTTGCAGGGCAGGACCACGTCGACCTTCGAGGCATGCCACCTTCTGCTGGGCTTCCCGATCATCGAATTCTCCAGGGACAACGTCTGGGTACAGGTGGGGCCTCCAGACACCTGGACTGTGTGGGTGCCCAAGCACGAGGAGCAGGTGGCCTTGCAGCAGCCCACTGACTACCGCAACAAGAAGATGCGCCAAGGTGGGAACCTGCCTGTTGCTCATCACTGGTACCGGGAAATGCAAACCATCTTCGGTGAACATGAGACGACCTTGCCAGTGGAAGGCAGGGAGCCGGTTTCCTGTCGGTTTAGTGAAGTCACCTTCCTGGACTTTTGCGCGGCTTTCAAGTACATCGGCGTGCAAGAACCACAGCCTCGCAGGCGCCCTGCAATCGTCGGCTACCAGAACTTCAATCCGGACGAGGAGGCCGAAGCTTTCTACTACTCCAAGCTGCTGCTGCACCTGGTGTGGAAGGAACCTGGAGATTGGCTGTTGGAGCAGGACGCAGGAAGCCATGCAGCAGCGTTCCAGCGCATCGCCCGAGACGTGCGCGGCCACCCAGACTTTCTTCGGTCGAGATGCTTCCCTCAGCTAGATGGGACCGTCGACGCCGCCCGCAAGCTGCAGGCCGTACAAGCGACGATGTACATGAAGGCCAAGATGCATCCGGCAAACCTGCGGGACGGCTGGGCCAACAGCAAGGTTGCCGAGGAGAACTACAAGGATTCCTTGCAAATATTGGAGGCACTGAAGGAGCGGTATGGAGGAGACATCGACTTCCTGGCCCCGGACTCTGTGCCCACCGGAGCTGCCCTCAATGCCTTTGCGCCGGTCGAGGAAGGCGAAGAATCATTCGAGATGTTGACGGTTGAGAACCCCTGCCCGGAGACCACGCGCCAGTGCCAAGAGCACATCGTCCAGTCAGTTCTGAGGCAGCCGAACACCAAGGACACGCAGAATACTCAGCGTCTGCACATGCTCCTCCACGGGCCCGGCGGCAGCGGCAAGTCCGTGGTGGTACGCGCAGCAGCTCACGTCCTGCGGCAAAGCAAGAAAGGATGCATCATAGCGGCGCCCACGGGTGTGGCAGCATTCAACATCAACGGTGTCACCCTCCATCAATGTTGCTTGCTCCCCGTAGTGAACCAAAGCCACGGCAAGGCCTGCGACATGCCGCTGCCGGACCGCCAGAAGTTAGCCACTCTCATAGACATCTGGTCGAAGGTCAGCGTTCTGTTCGTTGACGAGATGAGCTTCATCCCCTCCTGGATGTTGGAGCGTCTGGATCAGCATCTCCGTCTTGCCAGAGATCTGCAAACCCTGCCCTTCGGAGGACTGCACGTCATCTTTGCCGGGGACCTGTATCAGTTGCCTCCACCAAGCGGGCTGCCGGCCTTCGCCAGCCGGCTTTGGCTGCTCTTCCAGCTCTGCGAGTTAGAAGGAAACCAGCGGGCCGCACGCGACCCAGCCTGGGCCGCTCTGCTGGCACGCGTTCGGGTGGGACAGCAGACCGACGCCGACATTGAGGTGCTGCGGAATATGGTGATCAAGAAAGGCAGCAAGAAGCGGCCCGCCCCGAAAGCCGTGAACCTATACGCCACTCGCCAAGCAGTCGCCGAAAGCAACCGCCGCTACAAGGAAGAGCACGTCTTGAACACAGGAGAACAGCTACACGATTGCCCAGCTGTCGACACCAACGTCAAGACCGGTGTGCCGCTGTCTCCAGATGCCGTCTGGGCCGAGCCGGAGAACACAGGTGGCTTGGTAGGCCTGCTGCAGGTGGCCATTGGGCTCCGTGTCATGCTCAGATACAACATCGACGTGCGAGATGGCTTGGTCAATGGCGCCTGTGGCACGGTGGAGCACATTGACACCGAGAAAGCCGGCGGGGAAGTCGAGAGGATCTGGGTTTCTTTCGAGAAGAATGCTGGGGCCACTTGGCGAGCAGAGCACGAAACCTCCTGCGTGGCAATCTCGAGGCGCTCGGCCACGTACCTTGACAGAGACGGCAGCAAGGCATCGAGGCATCAATTCCCGCTCGTTCTCGCCAAAGCCATCTCGATCCACAAGAGCCAGGCAGCTACCTGTAAGGACGGAGCGCATACCCGCCTCGATCACACCATCTTCGCAGAAGGTCAAGCCTACGTCGCCCTGAGCCGCTGCCCCGAACAGGCACTCTGCAGCTTGGAGCTCTTCAACCCCAAGGCTTTGCGGTTCAACGCCAACGCAGAGTGGGCCCTGACCAAGCTGAAGGCGCAGCAAGCCGACCGGGACGGCCCGGATCTCTGGAAGGCGTTGTTCAAGCCGGAGCAGAACAAGGAGTTCTATGAAAGACGACTAGCTGAGATGGGGACGCCCGACTGGAACCGTCTCAAGCCAGACCACGGCGAGCGCATCGAGCGGCCCTGGTGTTGTGCACTATGCGGCACGGAGGCTCCCAACACCAAAGCTGCCATCAAGGCTCATAAGCGCAAGTGCCCGGCCAAGCCACCAGCCAAGACGAACGCCAAAAGCAAAGCAAAGGCCAAAGCAAAATGCAAAGCAAAGTTCGTCTTCATGGGCCTAGGCAAACGGGCTGCAGAAAGCTCTTGCGCGGCCGGGTCTTTGGCCAAGATGCAACGGACAGGCAGCCGACCCGATCAAGACACACCTGCGGGCCTGTATTTTGAGGCGCAAGAGCAAGCTCTCTGCGGCATGCACGCCCTGAACATGGCCTTGGGGGCAGCCTTCTTCACTGAAGCGGACATGGACAACGCCGTGCAGGTTGTCCTCGAAGAAGGTGGGGTGGAACGAGGTGAAGCTGCAGAGGACCACGCGGCGCCAGGTGGCTTCTACTCCTCGGAAGTGCTTGCGCAGGTACTGCAAACCAAAGCCATGGCTGCTTTTGGTCGTGTGAGGTGGCAAATGGACCTTCAACCCGTCGTGAGCAAGCACGATCTGGAAGCAGCTGCCGGGGCGGTGCAGAACCGGGACAACGCACACTGGGTGGCATATCGATATTTCCATGAGAAGATCTTCAGGTTGGACTCCCTGGCTCGTACCCGCAGAGCAGAGCAGATACCGGAAGCCGTCTTCTTGGCGGAGCTCGCTCGACATCCCGCGACCTACTGCATCCGAGAGGTCTAGCCGCGGCTGCCATCTCCTAACAATGTTGTGATGCCGCGAGGACACCTCTGGTGCTCCACGCCAACGTTTCACCCCCCCACAGACCAGCGTTCTCACGCGAGATCGCACAAGGCAAGGCAGAAACCAAGGCGACAGCTCATGCTCATGTGATGGATGGAT